TATATATATATATATCGATCTGCGCAATATTATCTTTGCTTATCTATTAAGAAAGAGATAGACAAAGAAAATACTTATTATATTAGAGTTCTGAGTTTAATTATTTTCATTGTTATTATTATTACATTTAATGTGATCATTATTAGGTACTGGTTTTGCACAGATTTTTATATTTACGATGTTTTTAAAATAGCTTTTATAAATATATTTTGAATTTTCCAACGTTAATATTGTAGTTTGTTTTTCTTGCTTGTTATTTTTATTTTAATACCGCTAAAAATATACTGGCAGACATTATCCAAGTAGCTTCAAGCTACTGGAAAGCCTTTAAAAAGGATCTCGTTGCTATTCGAACCATTTCATCAAGAGATTACGTTTTGTTAGTTCGTAAAAGAATGCAACATTATACAATTGACATGCGATAGTATTAAAATTTAAGCTCTTGAGAAAAAATATAGCTGTGAAATTTATGCTTAAATTTAGAGTTTTTTTATAAGAGCGAAGCAGCTCGAGCAATTTCGTTAGGCGCATAATTAGACATTTTTCTGTTGGTAACATCGTCCCAATGTGTTTGACGTAAATTGCAAATGCATTTTTCGACAATCGTCGGTGCTATTTATGCAATTGGACCGCGTTAAACTTGTTGTTTCAATTGTCACGCGGAAGCACGCAATTCGTAGCTACCGTTTTTAATAGCCCTCACTAGCTAATTATAAGTGGGAGAGATAAGATACGATCTTCGCGATTAACTCGGCATACGTAGCTCCAGACTTCATACGAACGTTGTCTCACGTAGATTGTAATTGATAGAACTATCACAATTTTTCAGTTCTAGTGTATCTATTTTAGATCTGTCGCCGATCAATATGTGGCATTATTAAGTGATACTATCATTTCATCAATCGAGCGTTGCATCGCGCTTGAACAAATTTTAATTGTGGGAAAAAAAGGAACGAAGATAGTGAACAAAATAGGATTCCATCATAGATAAGTGTGCATAACCGAAATTATCCAGTGAACAGAGCTAAATCATCGTTTTTAACGTCACTCTTTTCATCGTCGAGATCATTCATCATTGAGTGCGATGGATATTTATGAATACAATGTATCGGATACCAAAATCAAGTTATACCTCAAACAATTATTGACAGCTCTGGGACCACTGACAGGAATCATCGCGGCCGGCATGTCGAACGGTTACAGCGCGATACTTCTTCCACAGCTGAAGTCTATTTCTTCCAACGACAGTGAGTCTTTATCGGAATCTGCGAACGTGGATCACTTCGGAATGCTTACTAGCGACCAAGAATCGTGGATTGCAGCGGCCGCGGTTTTGCCAATAGCGCCGGGATGTTGGACCGGCGGTTTCGTGGCAGAAAGATTCGGCAGAAGGACATCGTTTATGTTGCTGTATCCTATTTTTTGCATCGGCTGGTTGAGCATTGGCCTCGCCAATAGCGTACAAAATTTGATAGCAAGCAGGATCCTGACCGGATACTGCATCGGAATCCATGCATCAATTTTTCCGATCTACGTGAGTGAAACGAGCGACCCCCTGTTGCGCGGTATTTTACTGGGGGCGGTTGGTTTGACCCTTTCCATCGGTGCATTGGCGTGTCACGCGATGGGAACTTGGCTGAACTGGCGGACTACCGCGTATATTTGCGCCGTGTTACCTATAATCAGCTGGATTACCATCCTCTTCTCGCGAGAGAGTCCGATGTGGCTGCTCGGTAAAGGTAAAATCGAGGAGGCGAAGCACTCGTGGATATTTCTCCGTGGTGAACACTCGCTCGAGGAATTCTCCCTGTTAGAAACCACCAGACTCATGGAAATCTCTGAAAAAAGAACCAGAAAACGATCGATACTGCGTTCGTTCATGAAGCCTTGGTCGTCGCGATATTTTTTGAAACCCTTCGGTATTGTCTGTTTGAAAATATATATGTATATATATATGTATAGATGAAAAGAATAATATCATAGTGAAAGTAAAAAGAGATAACAAGAATTGTTAATAAATGTTTTTTATGTGTATATTTATAATTGGTCTTCTTTCGAACGTTTGTAGATATCTTAGAACAAGATGAGTTGCTATCGGAACAAGAAATTTGACAATTTGAAGGATTTCACGTTCGGTAGAGCTGGAAATGAAAAGTCGGCGATATCAAACGTGATTTATGACGATAAGGACAATCTCGGCCCAATTTCCCACGCGCGACGTGCCTGAACTGCATATAATCTTCATGAATGCGTAATGACCCGTCGTGCGTCCTCTCCCGTGGCCCATTCAGCAAGGTCTGGTGTAATGGAGGGGAATAAAAACTAGGTGGTCCCTACGCGATAGCGCCGCGCCAATGGCGCTTTTTGCGTTGACGACGAAGCCCTTCAGACTCCTCTTCCTTCTCGATCTATTGCCATGAGGAGTTCAACGGTGGGAAATGCAGTCGAGCGAGAACATTTAGCACTTTCGAGACGACGATTCGTATATCGATTCGGATCAAGTCTTTACAGTCTCTCACCACCTGTATATGCTACAGCACAAGTGTAGAAAATGGACTGTCTTCGAAATTCTATATGAATTTTTTGTACATGTCTGAACCATGTGCGTTATATGTAAGTGATAAAAAAAAAAAAAAATTGATAACACGAAAACGATCGATACTGCGTTCGTTCATGAAGCCTTGGTCGTCGCGATATTTTTTGAAACCCTACGGTATTGTCTGTTTGTACTTTTTTGTCATGCAGTTCGCGGGTACTAATGTGATGCTTTTTTACTGTGTCGAAATGTTGACGGACATATCAGGTCAGGCACACGCGTATCTGATAACAGTGGTCATCGATGCGATTCGTGTGACATTCGGAATTATCGCGTGCATTCTTTTGAAAACGTGCCGTAGACGCATCATGACGTTCGTATCCGGTTTCGGCGTAGCTATTACTTTATTATCCTTGAGCGCGTGCTTGACGTTTAATATTGGAAGACCATGGATCCCCGTAATTCTACTTGTCACTTACGTCGCTTTGCTGCCGTTGGGATTGACTCCCATACCCTGGTTACTTTGCGGTGAGCTGTTCCCGAGAAAATGTCGCGGGCTTGGCTCCGGATTAACGTCTGGCTTCGGCTTCATGTGCTTCTTCGTGGTGATCAAGACAATGCCGGCTATGATAGAATTAATAAAGCCTGAGGGTACATTCGCTATTTATGGCTCGGTAGCATTGATCGGGACCAGTGCTTTATACTTTGTTCTCCCTGAGACCAAGAACAAAACCTTGCAAGAGATTCAAATATCTTTCAACAAAAAATCTCACAAGCCACAAATACAAGATGTGGAAGTTCCATTCCATGAATACGATGAATCCGAAGAAAACAAAAAATCGGATAAAGAAATGCAAAATGACAAATAATTACTTTCCTTAATGAACAAAAATTACAAGACGTGTATTTATATATGAATAAAATGTGAATAAAAATTTGCGTATTTATATAATATGAGTAAAATGAATTCAATTAAATATTCTTTTAGTATAGAATTACCTTATGGTTAGTTATCTCCGTATCATAAAGAGCGCGTAAAAGAATATGACGTAAGTGTTTACATGACATATTTCTCTTACACGTTTTCTCTTACTTCATCGTCTTTGAAAAATCTAGATAATTTTTAAGCCAAAAAAATTATGGGACGTCGAGATTACTGTTTCGTTTGCGGCAAAGATGTATTTGACGGCGACGTGAACGCGCTACCGCAAGCAATTTCGCATTGCGTAAGTGACGATGCGACGCATCCTTCGACCGGATATATTTCGGACGTGCTGTAAAATTAACTGATGCGTCGAAATAATGACTCTGCGGCCTCGTCGCGTCGGGACGAGGCGGCGAGAGCAATAGAAATTTAACTGCGAGCCTTGCCAGCACGACGGACCGTAAAATTGCGTTCTCACGTGATTATTGCTCGGACCACTTACCGCAGCTGATGGAAATTACGGTTCGTCCCCGGCGTTCGCGTGACGTTTTGCGAGCCGCGCAGTGACTTAGGCGCGTACGTAAGTGAAATATGACGGCGGTGCTGTCAGGGTTATTAAAATGCGAGGAATCCTGATTTATCGCCCTTCGTCGAGATTTCGAGGCGATAAAGATAAAGATCGTTTCCGGTTGATGGATGAATCGACTACCGTGCGGGCACAGATATTAAAGTTTCCCACACACAAGAGAAATGATAGATAAGTCGGTTTTAACTCGCGCTGTTCTTTGCATTGCATGAATCATTCAAGTCGAATAAATAGTCGATCGAATTCAGCAATGATGAAATCAATTTTATTTTTGTATCGAACCGGTTTTTGCTTGTTATTGCGCAGCGAATCGTAGATGAATCTTTAAGATACCATTTTTCCTCCTAGTACGATTTCAATCTTGGAGCATCAAAAGCGAGCGTTATAAAGAATAACGTTAAACTCTGACGGTTTTTCTCTTTTTAATTTTATCCCCAATCTTAACTCATTACTCTCCTTTTTTCAATCTTGCTTTTATTCGGCTCGCCTTGTACTGATTATTGCAAGCACGCAAAGCGGTCGTTACGTATAAATCCTTTTGCTTCTTTTTACTATAATCATTTTCGATCAATTCTTCTTTTCGCGAAACTCGATTCCCGGCGAAAAATCTTGCGAAATGTGATACTTATACTATAGCGATATGTGGTATCTTTATTTTTTAATAATCTTACATATTAATTAACATGCTACAGCACAAGTGTAGAAAATGGACTGTCTTCGAAATTCTATATGAATTTTTTGTACATGTCTGAACCATGTGCGTTATATGTAAGTGATAAAAAAAAAAAAAACATTGATAACACGCAAACATTGATGAAACTAATAAATTGTTTCGAAGTGTAAACATTGAATAGGAAAGAAAATAATATATCGCGGATATCGGAAAATATGTATCGATTTATTACCGTCCTTGACACGTTAAAAATCGTTAAACATTGTGTCTACAAATATAAGCGAAAATATCTGTCAACTTTTATAACGAAAATTTCTTTTTATATCGCAGCTCATATCCGAAAAAGTAACAAAAGCCGAGTGGCATTTTTAATTCCAGACGTTCGTGCAATGATAATTTTCGAGATAACGCGAAAGTCGCGTGCAATCCGACAGAATTGCGGCAGAATTGTGCAGGAGGATGATCCAGCAAGTAAATTTACCAGTAAAATGAAAATGTAACGCTGTAACACACTCGGCAAACTCACGCAGATCACTGTGTGCCACCGCATGTAACCCCGCAGTCCGTGAGCTTTATGTACTTCATAAACATTTCTCGTGGTCTCTCTCGCTCTCTCTCTCTCTCTCTTTCTTCCTCTCTCTTCCTCTCTACTCATCATCATCCGCGATCCTGTGTTTGCGGTTTAGGAATGACATCTTGTTCGATGCTATGCGCTAGCCGCGATGCAAAGCGAAACGACTAGACGGCGATCGCTTTTATGATCTGTCTCGACCGACGCCGTTGTTGGTCCAGCGAACGTAAATTGCCGCAGGTTCAAAAAATCGCAAGCGGTTACTGTCTCGTCCGTGGCAATAAAGCGCGAGTTCATTTGCATTAAATTTTTCAAACGCCACTATATGTGTGGTGTTTTTTATCGCGACATCACGGCGTAGTCGCTTAAAGCGCGCGACTGCTATGTTTAAGCGTAGCATTTTTTTTTACTTTTTCAAGGGAAATGTGCTTTGTCCGGCTTAGTAAATCGTATTTCCGAGCATATGTAGCGCAATCCTTATAATTGCGAGATTCTTTTTGACATACGTTTCGCACGAGGCTAATAAATCGCGATTACACACGTCGAGGATATAGCTCTTCTCGCAATGTTATATCTTTTGTACTATATATTTAATATGATTTCACATTCATCAACCAGTATCACGTTTTAACGATCTGTACTGTTAACCCTTTTTGCGAAAATATCCGAGATCTCGTAAAACGTTTTACGAGATGTCAAAGTTCAAAGTGAAGCATCTTTGTTGCATGTCGACAGCCTGCTACTTCCGGCAAGGACTCAAACTCTTCGACCGTCATTAGGAAATTTATACGAGCCGGAAGATAAGGCGTTGATTAAATCCGGATTCCAAGTAGAGGGTCGATCCGTGTTTCTTTGACAAAATTGAAGGAGCTATCTCCAGCCGCTGCTGAGTAATCGCGGAATGAGGTGGTCTCTGTGTGAGAAAAAGGAGATGGAACTTTATCAGGTCCTGCGAACCCACGGAGAACGACTGGAAAAGAAAGTAAGAGTACTGGTTCGCACTCTCCGAAGTTAAGGAGCAAAAGATAAAGGTCGATCGCTTTATCTCCGAAATAGAAAGGATGCTATCCTGTATCGAGAGATAAGTTCTTTTTACAATTGAAATAAATCTCTCTCTTTCTTTTATATATTATTATTTTATATAATGCTTTTAATATACAACAATTTATGTTTATTTAATTTTTCTACGATTGTTATGTGTATATTTCTTTGCCTTTATTGAGTCTTAAAAATGATATATTTAATATATAACAGCGATATATTTTTAAATATACTTTTAAGCGCATGGAAAAGGAAAATGAAAATATTGCATACATGGACATATATGGAGATTAAAGCGTGAACCAGGAAAAGAAATAAGAAATCCTTTACTAAAGCAAGAAAGCCAAACTCGACGATTTATCCTGACGTTGCTCAACGACGAGATCAACTCTGCTTTCGGCTTCTAACGAAAATGTCGTTCCTCGCATCAGTTCTGCTTAAGAACCTGGCAAGGTGATAAAAACGAACTGGATTTTCCGAGACCTCTTTTTCTCCTCATTCCTTTCCCCGTTACTCTGCGGCGCCTGCGGTAGCAATAATTTGCAATTTTTGTGAAACGTATACCAAGCCGGAGATAACGTTGGAATCGACTTTAGGAACAACACTCCGAAAGTTTCGCCGACCGTGATGATACTATTTGCCACAAAGTTGCAAGTTAACTGGTAGGTAACAAAGTTGCCAGCGTTCTAAATACAGTAAAATGGTGCAACTCTGTCTTCTTTTAATGATGTTGTTAGTTTTTTTTTTTTTAATATAGTGCTTGAAACAATGCACATATTATTTAACATATCGTTAATTTAACAAGAATTTATATATTTAATTATTCTTGACTTTACTTTTCTCAATTTTCTTTTGAGAAACGTGTATATCTCTCTATTGTAAAATGTTCGGAACTCAATTATAAAAACAGATGGAAATAATAACAGCTATAAAAATAAAATATGCCAAATGAGACATTTTTGTTTGCCTTTTTTAAGTATAAAGATGAAGTTATCAGAGAGAATTACCATTGACTCAAAGAATAAAATGTGCATATTGCTTGAATACATAAACTGTTCAAAATTATTTTAATTTAATTATAATTTGGAAAAAATTGTGTACAACTACGAATTATGGATTATTTCAAGATTTAGATATTTTGCAAATTCTTGGCGCTTTCCAAGAATTAAAAATAACGATTTCAGTACCATTTTTAATGTCACGTGTCTCGTAAAATTTTAAATCTAACGCGCAAAAAAGAGACCTACCTTTACAGGCCGCAATCACGCAAACGAAAGTCCACCATCGACCGTAGAATCGTTGTTGAGAAAGCCCGGCACAGGAAATGATGTTCGCCCGTGATCGCTTGAAACTTCATGAAATTCTATTTCGAAGTTGAAACTACATACGGTCCTGAAGCGCCAGCTTTGCATAAAATGATAGCGTCTATATCACTAGGGATGCCGCGTTCTTCCAACATTTGATAATGAAATGATTAAATGTTGGCTTGTACTTGTATGAGAATTTTATCGGCAATTTTTACCGAGTGTTTAATACATTTAGAAATTTCTTTGGTTGGCAATATAATTCGTAACTGATGTGTGACTTGACTAAATTACAACACAATTATATTTTAAAATTTAGGGGAAAAAAAACGCTTAAAAAACAAATTATAGTATTTTTTCAGAAACTGACATAGTATAACATATGGTGGGCAATGTTGTTCACATTTCATGTTGTATCTGTCTCGCATGCTTTCTTCCTTTAGAATACACGGCTATAAACTTTTTTATAATCATTGACGAGAAAATAAATGCTGCAAAACGGCGAAGAGATAGAGGAAGGTGCAAATAAAGCTAATATGACGAGAAAAATTATATACATGGAACAGTTTGCATTTTTCGTTGAAGAATATCCTCCGCGAAAAAAAAAGAAAGTGTCGCGAACGCGACTTAAGCTTGCGGGAATTTATCGGCGATACATTCCCGCACCGCGTCCCAAATCGCGTGATTGCTGGCGGGTTTTTGCAACGAGACACTGGAAAACACTGAGAGTTTTAGCTCGCGACGCTGCAGATAACCATGCTACCTACGACCAGACG